GTAATTAAAAAGAGTCTACTTATTTTTTGTTCTGCTATAGCAGAACCAAAACATTTTTGCCCCCTTAAATGTGTTTGTGTGTATGTAAATGTGTGTGTGTGTGTGTGTTGTGTGCATTGATCATTTTAACCAAAGTGTGAAAATGAAGTTGTAATGCTAAAGGCCAAAGGAATGAATTAACCTGACCTGTTAATTAAAAGACCGTGCTTGAAGTATTAACCAGGAACCACTGTTAGACTTTTCATTCTCAACCCAAAATGGGAAGGCAAGCACAGTAATCCCACATCACCTCTGGAAATGATGTCAGGAAATGTTTTCTCAGAGTCAGCTACTGGTCAAGACTTACATCAAGTTAAACAAAATAATGAAGGATCAGGGATTCTAAAAGGGCCAAAAGTTCGAACAGGAGACCTTTAGCCCCTTTGCCTGCAATGCATAATAATGCCTGGCTCAATAATACTTCCTGTTTGTTTGATATGTCCTTACCATACTCTGAAAGAACAAACACTTATAACTTCCATATTAGGGACGAAGTCTTCTGTCCCCACCCTTCCTGTTTAGGATTATTTTCCACAGAAGTGAATCAGTGCAGTTTGAACTACAGAATGAATATGACAAGAACAAAAACCCCAAATAGACCAATCTACCTAAAGTCATGTCTTATTAAACTTCCAGAATATTTGGGAGTGTCCATACTACAGAATAATTATATATAACTATATATGAATTTAAGGTTGGCTTGAAGTTTAAAATGTCTTTAATAAAAACTCCACTTTCCTTATGTGAGTCTAGATAGATCATACAGTTTAAGATTCACCAACAAAAGCTTGTAGCGATAACAATAGTGGGAGGCTTGACTTCTAAAAACAGCTCTTTCCTGTTAGCTATTTCTGCCCACAAATACAATTGATTGCAGGTAAGTAGCATGTAAGTATTTTTATCATTACTAAAATAGTTTGGACATATATAAAATATAAAGGAATTTTAAAATTAATTGATTGTTGTTTAAGCCTCCAGCTTTAGTGGCTTGTTATTATTTTTTAGTCAGCACTTAGGCTTTACTTCCTAATGCCCCAAGAAAATAGAGTAAAAAACTTGAACACAAACCTTTCCACCAGGTAACTCTAGAGTTTATAAGCCGCAATGAATGACATTTCCTCAGGAAAATCTTAGAAATTATCACTGTTGCTCTTTTTATTAGTCCATGTTTAACCTGAAGCTAGAAACTATGTCCCATTTATTTCCGTCTCCAGAATTTGTATTACCAACTGTGCTATATTGAAGTTTATATGACAGGCCATTTCAACACTTTTGTTTAGTTAAAGAGGAGTGCATCACTTTTAAAGAAAAGCACGATTGCCAAAAAATATAAACAGCCCTAACTTTGATTAATATAAATATTTTAAAACCAGAACGTTCTGTTACATCTTACAAAAACAATTCGAATATAGCTGATGGGAAAGAAAAAGTGCTTTCATACATTAGACAGATCCAACAAAATACAGCTGCAGACCAAATTTTAAGTAAATATGAATTGTTTGTCTTTTCAAAGGGCTATGGTATTTACTTAAATGGAGTTATTTTAGAGTACTTTATGTTTCATTAGTAAAAACGAAAGTTTTCAAGATAGTTTTATTTTTGAAGTATCCCATTTAAGTTCCAAGTCTTCTAATTTAAAAATGCCATTAAAATTACTCCCCGTGCCCAGTGAGGGTTATTTGCTAATAAGCCACTGGACAAGAGATGTGTGAAGTGAATAGATGAAGAAAAACGTTGACAGCAAAAGGGAGGTCTAGGGGGTGAAGTTAGTTTATTAGGCCCTGTTTGTCACGAATGGCCCTGCTGCACATATAAAAGCAAATCCCTCTACCTTAGAAGATTAATTCTGAAGGAGGCACTCTTAGGTCAAAGTATACATAAGCGTGTGCCTAATCTCAGAGAAATCAGGCTATTTTCTCACAGCAATTAAGCAGAGGTCTGGGGTTTCACCCACAGTGTATTTAAACACAGGATACAATTAAACCCCAACGTATTAATATCTTTGCTCTGCAAAATTACCCAGGAAATAGATTTTGCCCTCTTTCAAATGAAAAGCAAGTCAAGTTAAGAGAATAACTTGATTCTTAGCTAAGTTGCTTGAAATAAGAGTATCGTAATTTCTTCTAATTGCAAATGTCTTATAGACAGAGGTAGTTCTTACTTTACAATAGGGTAAGAGTTATAAGCTTTCTAGTTCCTTTAATCTAAATAGCAAACCTTAGAAGTGTGCTTGAAAACGTATTGTTTTTAAACTGTAATTAAAATTCTGACGCAACATATGTGAAAAATCAATTCATTATAAAAATCTGAGAACTCACTATTTACCGTCAGCAAAATACCTTCAATGAGGAGAAGCTTTGCAACCAATGCGAAGAGTAAAAACAGTATACATAAATCTTAAGCAGTCGAGTGCTCGGAAGGGATTGCTTTCTACAGAGGTTTTTCTGGAAGTTATTTTATTCATATACTCATCTCAAAGAGGGAATCTTCTAGGGAAAATTGTAGCCAGTTTAAAATATCGCTTCACAAAGAAAAAATAAAAACAACAAACAACTTTTATTTGTTGTACATCAGTTCCCTAAAGGCAAACATTTTTTAATAACATAAAAGTTAATTAAATAAACTACCACCTTTATTCAGATCTTGAAAAAAATAACCTTTCAGGTACTAAAAGATTTTTAGTACAAATATTGTTACTTCTACATATCAAGTTAGTATTCCAATTTATTGCCAAACCAAAGTCTCTTTGGCTTTTTTAGAGAATAGTAGGGGAAGGAAGTTGGTCCTGGAAAAGGAAAGGATACAAATTTATAGTTTATCCTTTACATGGCTGAATCGATAGTTTTTCCTTTTATATAGGAGTTTCTAGCAAGATAGTTGTTGGTGTACGGTACAGCAGAATACCCAGTGAGAAATCCTTTAACCCATGACACATGAGAATGTTCTTATACATTAATAAAACTGAAAGAATGAAGCAATATAGGATGAATCAGATGTGGGAGAGAGTGGGTTGTGTGTTGTGTGTTGGGGAGGCTGTGTGGTTGCCAAGGTATTTTCCCATCTAACACTCCATTGTTGCTTTTAAGAGGAGCTGAGTACTTAAGGTAAAGTGCACAAGGCAATGTGTCTTTGAAAGCACACTATAAATAGTTTAGGCACTTTTTGGATGTGTGGTGGGATATGTGGGGAGGCATGCAATCTGAATTTTATGAAGGATTGTTCTAATAGGACCAATGGCTTTAATAGTACTTCTTGCTGACATCACTGGCAAATTGGTCTATTCTGTAACCTTTACAATTGCAGCATATCCCAAAATGAGTTACTTATTAAACAAATGTTCTTTTTTTTTTTTTTTTTTTTTTAGGGCAACTGACCTTTAAATGATTATTTCTCCACACTTGCAACAAAGCATCTCACCTCTCACCTTTATACTTCTGATGCTACAGTGAGTGAATCCATAACCTTTTCACAACATGTAAGGAATGTGCCACACAATATGGAATTGAAATCACTAATGAACACTTTTTCTTTTAAGGGGGAGTCTTATTACTTATTAGTAAATTATTGCAATACACAGAAGCCATGCAAAAGTATAAAAATAGTTATTTTGATCAATCTGCAACCATTTTAGAAAATATTAACTCCAAAAACACCGAAGAATAATTTACTGCTAATGACAAGTTTCTACTGACATTTTCTACCCTTAACTTATTTTTAATAAAAACAATTTTTTTTTTGAGACAGAGTCTCACTCTGTCTCCCAGCCTGGAGTGTGGTGGCATGGTGTCGGCTCACTGCAACCTCTGCCTCCCAGGTTCAAAGGATTTTCCTGTCTCAGCCTCCCCACTAGCTGGGATTACAGGTGTGAGCCACCACACCTGGCTAATTTTGTATTTTTAGTAGAGACAGGGGTTTCTCCATGTTGGCCAGACTGGTTTCAAACCCCTGACCTCAGGTGATCTGCCTGCCTCGGCCTCCCAAAGTGCTAGGATTATAGGTGTGAGCCACCACGCCTGTCCTGTTTCCCCTTAACTTCTGAGGCAGAGGGATGTGTGTGTGTGTGTGTGTGTGTGTGTGTGTGTGTGTGGTAGTGGGGGGTTAAATACTGTATTTGATTGGAAAAGCTTTGTCTTGAAAGTTCAGGCACTTATGCAATATTTGTAGGCAATTTTATTTAAACCTACGTGCAACTATAGCACAGTACCCCTTTCCACTAACTAGAAAGAAACGCTTTGAAACTCCAGAAGTATTCATGAAATATATATCATGTAATGTTAGATATTTTAAGATTGTGCTTTCCTCAGAAATACACACATTTGTATAGATGAAATGAGTATAATCAAGTCGTGGTTATCCTTAATTAAGTGGAGATGGTAATTATAAACTTTATTCTTTAGGAATCAAATCAAATCTAACACATATTTAGAAAAGCTAATGCTTTCTGGGATCTTTTAACATTGGTAAAGATATACACACTACTTTAAGTCCCAATGGCCTTTTCTTGAGTAGATAGCCTAGTTTACAGTTTAGTGGAGCTGCTGAATCTGATAAAGATTTCATTAGCTTAAATATTTTCCCGCTTAAAGAAACTGATATTCCAATCTTGAAAAATTCCAAGGAAAAGTTTTTGGTTTGAAGGATTAAAACACTATAACAAGCTAGCAGTTTTTACTTTACATACATTTTAGTGTAACATTAATGTACAAATACCTGCTTATGTTCAAGAATAAACTTTTTTTCTTGCAAAGCTGACCTTATTTGTAAAATGCTGTTTTAGAAAGGTGTTGTAGTGACTCATAAAATATTTAAATGTCAACCCTCTACAGAGGGTTTCACTTGTGTATTCTCTCTTTTTCCCACATCTTTTACAAAAGGAGCATATTAGAATGAATTACAGAGAAATCTGAGAAAATTTTTCTTAAATAATGAAAAATAGTTGTTTGGAAGGAATGTTCACTCACAGTTTTCTTTTCGGCTCTGATTTGGTAATGTTTTGTAAAGCATAAGGACAGCCACAAGCCTTCATCAGAGAAATCAAAATTAATGTCCTTTGGAAACACTGGGCTCTGAAAGAAAAGGAAAATAATAACAGAGATACGACATCCTTGGCTCCCTTAGTTTAATTTTGAAAAAGGCAAATCAATTATTATATTGGCATGTAATCACAAAGAAAAATGCACAGACTTAAGAGCAAAACGACTCATTGTCGAGACTTCCAGGGTCTTATTCATTCATTGTGGTGGCTGCTGACAAACAACAGAGGGAAATCAACAATGCTGGATAACATAATCATCAAGGGCTTCTATGTCTGTAAGCCATTTAAATTCCTGACATTGAATATTTATAGTGAGTGATACTCCTTTAACATAGACCATATTTCAGTCAGCTCTCAGCACTCCTGACCTTCTTTCATACCCACATTCCCCTTGGCTTCATCAAGGCCCCCTCTAGCCTCATGCCTGTTCAAAAGCTGGGCACCCAGCGTCACTGGCAGTTTCTCAACTGCCCACCCATTTTTCAATATCCCTGTTTTCTCTTCACACCAGTTTATCGTTAGCATACTATCTGTCCTTTCACAGGCAGCCCCCAGGACACAGTTGTATTTATTTTGTACTTATCAATACAATGTAAATCAGCATGGGCTTACCTCCTTCGGGTTAGTGAACCTACGTTGTCTGTGAGCACAGACAGCACTTTGGTCACAGATGTGACTGGTTAACAGTACAAGCAAGGAGGATAAATCCACATCACAATACTTCATTCACCAAGGAAATCTGCAGTGGATTACGGCTTCTCTATGGTTAAGTCTGGTCTTAATTTACTGCTTTTATTCAGTTTTCAACCACAAACGAGCCCCTTATGAGGCATTCACTATGTAGAATTGACAACTCTTTTTATCTACTTGAAAAATATTTTTGGATAATAATTTATGGTTACAAAATATTTTAAGCAGTTTGAATAGTTATATTATATTCTTTCTGTGCTTAACGATGCAGTATCCCCTGTAAAAATGGAATGCCAGGCAATCTGGTAATTTTACGTACAGTATTTATAACAACAGAGCAATTTGGCCATCTAGAAACACAAATTTAAAAAAAAAAAAAGCTGTGCATATTTCATAGGAAGTCTTTTAAAGACTTTTTTTAAAAGCTCTTAAATTGCATCTCAGGAGAAAATCAGAGTTCAGAATAGTATCTAAAGCCCCTATATATGGGAAAAAAATAATTTTGGCAGTCACTGTATTTTATTTATGGGTTATTATGCTTAAAATACCACATTTTGAACACCCTTCAGAAGGAAAAAAAGCTGCAGATCTCTCTGAAGACACAAGGGAGAATTCATATGCTGTTTATATTTTATACATGAAACCAAAATGTGCGGGTAGGTTTGCACTTTTTCACCATCAAATATATTCTCTTATTTTATATTCTGGATTAATGCTGTCTTTAAAAAATCCATTTGAAGATGCTCATTATTATTGGGCATGGAGTAGTTTTCAAGGTCTGATTGCCAGTAACTGGAACTACTCTAGAAATCCCCGATAGGCTGAAAACACATAATAAACCTGTAATAAGTAGCAAGTGCCAGGATCAGTTTGTCATTTTAGATGCACGTCGCCTCGTATTGCCAAGCAGTGATCTTGTAACTGGAAATGGAACCCATGTAAATAAGATGGAATGTATTATATAAATGGAGACAATGTAAGCAGCGTGGTTGATGTTCTTTGAGATGACAGAGTTCCTTTTGCATTGCTTCAGATTGAACCATGGGTATGCAAAACTTTAGAACTTTCCCCTTGGCAGAATTTGAGCACTTTCAGACTCATTGATAGTAAGAGATTCTTCCCGTTGCAGAATGAACTCCCCATAGGTAAACAAAGGAAACATTCAACTGAGGTACTAGCTGTGTTTTCCTCATTAGCGGCTACACTGTTCTGAGCAGGGAATGAGTGTTTGGGGAAAAGCATCCTTGGCATTAACAAGAAGGAAAGGACATTGCTTTTTACAAGGAGGAACACTTTATATGATTTTCTAAAACATCTCTCTTCAAGTGCCATATGTAAATCGTATCTTTTTTTAAAAAAACAAATTATACTTGTGCTTCAGTGGGGAACTACATAAACGTGCAATAGAAAAATAATGAACTGTATCACTTTGGTTAGTTAACCAATTATTGCCTCTTTATAGACTCAGATGCTGTTTGAGTTGCATCATAAAAACAGGTGGGGTTTGTTGTTGTTTTCACTGGTTTGAAATTTTGCTCAAAAACATTTTTTAAAATGCTGTCATTCTTATTATTTTAGAACTTGGAGCATTCTGTCTTTTAATCTGGTAGCTAGGTTTCATTACCTTAATAGATGTTCTAATGAAGGTGTAAAAGAAAAGGTTAGAAAGGAGATAGATTAGGCAGTGGAAGCATCAGATTCAAATGCCACTTAATGTAATTCCTAAATCATTTATGTTAAAACTGTTTCATTAACAATATTACAACCACCCTCTGTTCAAACACATTAAAATACAGATAAGAACAACTTTACTAGTGGATTATAGAAGCTAGGAATTAGGACAACAGTGATGAGCTAGACTTCTCTGTCCTGACAAAAATAGTTTCCAATTACTAGCCATGGATCAGTGAACAACAGATTCCCTAGGAATATTTGGTATGTTCTCTCTGATCTTCCTATACCTGTGTACCTGGATACCAGTCTCATTTTTCCTTCCTCTTCCTGACAAGCATTACATGTGAGGTAAGAGTGGGAGGGTCATTTAACAATGAATTTCCCCATTGTATAACCATTACAAAGCTATCAGAGCTAACTAACTTATTGTTTTCTAAGTCACTGTACAATTTCAAGGTTTTAATGGTGCTTAAAATATAATACCCTGTGTCATTTATTTCTTGAAGTGAAAGCTAGTGCCAGCCTTTGAAATTCATGTAAAACAAGTGGTTCAATATGGTTTGAAGAGAGAATGAAAACTCGAGGCTGAGACGGAGTCTGGCTGTTTCGCCCAGGCTGGAGTGCAGTGGCCGGATCTCAGCTCACTGCAAGCTCCGCCTCCCGGGTTTACGCCATTCTCCTGCCTCAGCCTCCCGAGTAGCTGGGACTACAGGCGTCCACCACCTCACCCGGCTAGTTTTTTGTATTTTTAGTAGAGACGGGGTTTCACCGTATTAGCCAGGATGGTCTCGATCTCCTGACCTCGTGATCCGCCCGTCTCAGCCTCCCAAAGTGCTGGGATTACAGGCTTGAGCCACCGCGCCCGGCCTTCTTACTGATTTTTTAAAAATTCAGATTTATTCAGAAGAAAATCAAATTAAACATACATCCAAATTTTTGTATAGCACATTTGTTAGAGTGAAACCCATATACACAGTGAGGCAGGGAAGATTGACTAATTAAATAATTTGAAAATAAAGGTGTGCCTGGTTAAACAGTATCAACTTGAATTTTTTGCCTAGTGCTCTGAAACTATGGGAAATACTTGAAATGGGAAACTGGGTACATGAGCATAGAGAAGGGGCTAATTTCCCAACAATAATCCTGTGAGTGACACTTGGTTTGGGAAAGGAAATTGTCCTGTCTGACTGCTGATTTGCAGAGGCGGAGGTTTAAGAGTTAGGACAAGTCAGAGGCATCACTGTGACTCCAAGGCGCAGCTATAAAACAGAGCTGAGTCTGGTTGGTATGTCTGCCTGTCAGTGTATCACCAAGGAGCCTAGTGAGACATTAGAGGAAACTCACCAGCAATGTCGTATTGTCTGAGAGACAATGCACACACAGAGAAGACTTTTGTGGGGAAATCATGTGAAACATACAGAATTAAGATGTAAGGTAGAAGGACTCAAGGAGTCCAAGAGTAGAGGGGGATGAAAGCAGGGACTGCATCTCAACGGTGAGTGCGGCCAAGAGAACTAGAGCCCAGCTCAAATTCATGCAGGATATCAAGAGTCAAGTGCTACCGATGAAAAGATCATGACTTTTCCAATTCAGCAGAGAGAGTGCCTCTCCCCCAGTCAGCAGTGTGGTACAGGGCACAAATGACAAGTCCAAAGAGAGGAAAATCAATGAAAGGTTGAAGAGTTACCAAAGTAGAATTAACAGGGACAGTAATAGAGTCAGAAAGCTTGCTCTTGAGTAAACGTGGAAGGATTCTCAGGAGTATCTGCAAGCAAGGCTACTTCAAGAGATACTGCTTGTAGAAAAATGATAACCATGCCTGAAAGGACAAACATGGGATCCAACAACATGATGTCTACGTCCAAGACTATGACTGAGACTGAGATCATGTCTTTCTATTTCTTACTGAGAAAGTACTGGAAGTTAAAGAAAAGCTTATAAACTTTATTTAAAAACAGCATAAAACTTATGCAATAAGTATGATAATTGCATATATACATACATATATATGCGCAAATGCCTAAATTAATTGCTTGGTAAGCATATTGCTTTACCGAAATGTTTTAGTTAAGAACACTGGTTGCCAGTGTTGCAAGCTGCAGAACACTTACTCTGGTGCCATGCAGAGACACCTGAAATGTGGATGCGCCGAACTAAACATTCCACCACATTTTTGGCACCTCGCGAAGACTGGCCTTGATTGAATCTGCTGCACACCCGGTAACCCAGATAAATGCTACATGCCTGTCTTCTGAATGGGGGTAGCCTCTGATTTGAGGATTGCCAAGTAACCCAATTTTAGAATAGCACAAGTTTTAATTATATGTTTCATTTAACTGGCACCTGTCCTTGGAGGCTGTCATTAAAATCTAAAAAGCTATGATGTGGGAACTATTATTATTTATGATTTAGAGGGAAGCAAAAATAAATAAAGAGAGAAAGAAAAAAGAAAGCAGAAAAGCTGAGAGGTTTAGAGGAGTGGTAGAAGTGGAAGACTAAAAATTCCACTGGTGAAAAAGAGCAACATTTTAATTACCTAGAAAACCGATAGAAAACAAAAATCCAGATAATCGAATTTTTGGTGTTTGAGGTATAAGTTTACTAAATACCTACCTCATCCACCACTTCATGTTGTGTGTAGGATACACCTGTCTTTTCCTGGGTAAA